TGGAGAGCAAATGTTTTGAGAATGATGAAGGTAACAAATGTATAAATGTGCTTTATACAATCGATGGATGTATGGATTGTGATATGAGTTGTATGAGCCTCCAATAAAATGATTTAAGATAAAATAAAAGAAAAAAATTTTTTGTGGAAAAAGATTAGCCACTCCCTCCTCCTCTCCCTCATGGCGCCACGTCTCCCTCTAATGGAGCCCTCTGCTGCTACTTCCGTGCCTGACCTCTTTCTGCTAGTTGAGATCTTGACCATCAGACCAGGTACTCGCTTGCATTCTCAGCATCCTCTAGGGACGCAAATCACGTTTCTCTAATTCTATTGTAATTACTCTAATTAAAGAGAGCGTTTATTAAGTCTTGTCCAGGGCAGGATAAATGCAGAGATATTGTTAGGATTCTCAGGTAGGAGATAACTGGGTCCTTGGCTTCCCAAGAGAAAGAATTCATGCCCAAGCCTGGTTTGTGATCCAAGTGAAGGATGGAAGCAGTTTCAGGTTCCACACCCGCACGTGGAGCCCTTAGTCCAGCCAAACTGCAGCACAGCCAAGGAGCAGCTTTGTAGGGCCTTCTGCTGGGAGGTGTGGTCGACAGTACTGGTTGACCCCATTGACTGAATTAAGCCCACCTGCCCTAGATTGGGGCCCACCCAGGTGTACTGGCTTCTTGGCCCAAGGACCTGAATTTGCGCATGCCCTCTAGCCTTTATGGCTGACTGGGCTCGCCTGATTTTCTGCAGCAACTGCCTGTCGGGGAGAAGGCATGGAGAAGGACAACTCCCTGTCTGGCTACCTAACAGTATCTCTGGATGAGGGACACCACTAGCCAGAGGTCAGGATGGCATGCAAGGGTGTGCTGAGGTGTTTCAAAACGTGACACAGAGGTCAAAGCAAACTGTCACCAGAACACGGTTGGCAGGTGATGGGTGAGATCTTTCCATACAGCAGCTACTGGACTTTTTTATCTTGTGCTTCATTTGCCTTTGATTTTTTTGAGTATCTGTTTGTCACCCAGGAGCTCCAGTGGCTTAGTGGTTATGCCTTGGGTTGCGATCTGCAAGGTCAGCAGTCTGAAACCACGAGGGAGAAAGATGGGGCTGTTTACGTGGGTAACAAGTTACAGCTCAGAAATCCCCAGGGGCAGTTTGGCTCTGCTCGTACAGGGTTGCTATGAGTCAGAATGGACTTGCTGGCAGGGAGTTTGGCTTTTGGTTGGTATTTGACATTTTTAGGTATTTGTAACTCCAAGATTTTTATTCCTGTAATCAAATCCGTTAGTGTTTTTGTTCTGCCCCACCCCCACCCCCTAGTTGCTTCAAAGCATAGGAAGCTCGACCCACTTCTGGCAAGCTGATTAATATTTCATTCTGCCTTCTGTTATTTTCAACCCTTTCCTTGCCAGCAGCTGTATTATGGTGTGCCTGGAATTGCAGCTTCTGCCCTCCCCCTCCTCTGCGTTCCCCTCCCTCCCCCTCATCCTCCTCTGTGATGTTAACCTTCTCTCCCTCACATGCCCTCCTCCAGGAATAATCCACCAGATGAAGGGCGATTATGAAGCGGCGCTGAAACTCCACAAGACCCACCTGTGCATCGCCCAGGAGCTGAGCGACTACGCGGCCCAGGGCCGGGCCTACGGGAACATGGGCAACGCCTACAACGCACTGGGCGTGTACGACCAGGCTGTCAAGTACCACCGGCAGGAGCTGCAGATCTCCATGGAGGTGAACGACCGCGCCTCACAGGCCTCCACGCACGGCAACCTGGCCGTGGCCTACCAGGCCCTGGGAGCCCACGACCGGGCCCTGCAGCATTACCAGAACCACTTGAACATCGCCCGAGAGCTACGCGACATCCAGAGTGAGACCCGGGCCCTCAGCAACCTGGGCAATTTCCACTGCTCTCGGGGGGAGTACCTGCAGGCCGCCCCCTATTACGAGCAGTACCTCCGGCTGGCCCCCGACCTCCAGGACATGGAGGGTGAAGGGAAGGTCTGCCACAACCTCGGCTACGCCCACTACTGCCTGGGCAACTACCAGGAAGCCGTCAAGTACTATGAGCAGGACCTGGCTCTGGCCAAGGACCTTCACGACAAACTGAGCCAAGCAAAAGCCTACTGCAACCTGGGCCTGGCGTTCAAGGCGCTGCTGAATTTCAGCAAAGCCGAGGAGTGCCAGAAATACCTGCTGTCCCTGGCCCAGTCCCTGAATAACCCTCAGGCCAAATTTCGAGCCCTGGGGAATCTGGGTGACATCTTCATCTGCAAGAAAGATGTCCACGGGGCCATCAAGTTCTACGAGCAGCAGCTGGGCCTGGCCCACCATGCCAAGGACAGGCGGCTGGAGGCCAGTGCCTACGCAGCCCTGGGCACGGCCCACCGAATGATCCAGAAGTATGACAAGGCCTCAGGCTACCACACCCAGGAGCTGGAGGTCTGCCAGGAGCTCAGCGACCTGCCGGGGGAGTGCCGGGCTCACGGGCACCTGGCTGCTGTCTACATGGCCCTGGGGAAATACACGATGGCTTTCAAGTGCTACGAGGAGCAGCTGGACCTGGGGCAGAAGCTGAAGGACCCAAGCCGGGAGGCCCAGGTCTACGGCAACATGGGCATCACGAAGATGAACATGAACGTGATGGAGGAAGCCATCGGCTACTTTGAGCAGCAGCTGGCCATGCTGCAGCAGCTCAGTGGCAACGAGGCCGTGCTGGACAGGGGCCGGGCTTACGGCAACCTGGGGGACTGTTACGAGGCCCTGGGGGATTACGAGGAAGCCATCAAATACTATGAACAGTACTTATCCGTGGCCCAGAGTCTGAATCGCATGCAAGACCAGGCCAAGGCCTACCGGGGCCTAGGAAATGGACATAGGTAAGCACAGCTGAGGGAGAACGGCAGGAGCAGCTGGGACGGGAAGCGCAGGCTTGTGGTACGTGGTCCTTGACTGAGTACAGAACATGTCCACACACACCATCTCCTCCAAGTCTCTCAACAATTCTGTGAACTTAGCAGATGGCCCTCTAGGTTACACAGCAAGGTTGGCAGTTCAAAAACTACTAGCACCTCCGTGAGAGAAAGATGAGGCTGGACCCATAGGACTGCTGGTCTCAAACTGAATGTAGGGTTGCTGCGAGTCAGAACCAACTTGAGGGCAGTGAGTTTGGGCTCTTTGAGGGGGAGGGGTTTCGGAAGAAGAAACTGAGGCCCAAAAAGATTGTGTTCATATCCCCAAGATACCATAGCACTCCAGAGATTGCTGAGAGCCAAACCCAGGGCTAAAACAAATTCCAATTCATAGTGGCCTTCTCTGGGGCTCCAAGGCACCCTAAATCTTTACAGGAGCAGACAGCCTCATCTTTCTCCCTCAGAGCAGCGGGCGGGTTTGAGCTGCTGACTTTGCAGTTAGCAGTCTAACACTTACCAGACAGCGCCCCCAATCACAAATCAGGCACACTGCAGTCCTCATCGATGCCCACTCAGTGACCCTATAGGACAGGATAAAACTGCCCCGTGGGTGCCTGAGACTATAACTCTTTATGGGAAGAGAAAGCCTCATCTTTCTCTCACAAAGCAGCAGGTGGTTTCAAACTTCTGACCTTGCAGTCCCAGCGCATAACCACTATGCCACCAGTCTTTAAACCCAGGCCCTCACTCACACACTACAATGAAGTTGATTCTGACTTTTAGTGACCCTATAAACAGGGTAGGACTGCCTCTGTGGGTCTCTGACCCTCTTTATAGGAGTAGAAAGCCTTGTCTTTCTCCCATGGAGTGGTCAGTGGTTTTGAACTGCTGACCTTGCAGTTAGCAGCCCAATGCATAACCACTAGGCCACCAGGGGCAAGCTGACTCCAAATGGCAGAGTAGAAGAGACAGTGGGAAGGGGGAAGGTGCATGAATTGTAGACTGATCTTTGCTGAGCACGTGTATTTATTCTTTAATTAGAAGGTCTATGCCCTCCGATTACTTGGATCTCATTGTGTGCTTGTAAAAACAGCCATCTGATAACGGCACACCTTGTGAGGAGGTACACGCTGTTCACAGGGACTATGCCGGCACTGCCTCTATTGTTACTCATCTACTGACTCATCTGCTAGGAGAGGAGGTCTGTCACCTAGCCACTCAGACTTATGAAGTTGGCCATGGGAGTCCGGGCTCTCCCACTCCTGCACAGCCATCTCAGCATCTGTCACCCAGGGGAGGTGCTCTTCCTCAGGGAAAGGGACCTCCATCACCCAGGGGAGGCGCTCCTCTTCACGGCAGGGAACTCCAGAGGTGCCATACCTGCTCCAATTCCTGTGCAGGCTTGATTGCCACTCCAGATAGGAGCAGGCTGAGGGCTCCCAGAGGGGAGGAAGCAGCGCCAGGGCCAATGAGACCCATCACCCACGAAACGCCCAAGAGAGATTTACAGCTGCCGCAAAGTGATTTCCCAAAAAGTCACCTAGGCGGCATGGAAATTGAGAGGCCCGCAGCGTGCACCAGTTCCCTTGCTATCAGGGACCCTATTAATATATTTGATGTTCCCTCCGGGACGAGGAGCCCGTCCCCGCCTAGGCTCACAGGAAGGTCACTGAGTTGCCATCTGAATTGCCTCCCCGATTATGAAACACCCGTGCATCTCACTCCCGGGCCCTTGATGGATTTTACCTAGAAGAGGAGTTAAGAGCCTCTCTAGCAAGTGACAGTGACAAATGCTATTCATTTCCTCGGGGGGCTGGGCCTGGTCTGTATCCGCGAGGAGTAATGGTCTGGCCTCTCTGTCTGCCTCCCCGCAGGGCCATGGGCAGCCTGCAGCAGGCCCTCGTCTGCTTCGAGAAGAGGTTGGTGGTCACCCACGAGCTGGGCGAGGCCTTCAACAAAGCCCAGGCCTACGGCGAGCTGGGGAGTCTGCACAGCCAGCTGGGCAACTGTGAGCAGGCCATTTCCTGCTTGGAGCGCCAGCTGAGCATCGCACGGGAGATGCAGGACCGTTCCCTGGAGAGCGACGCGGCCTGCGGCCTGGGCGGCGTGTACCAGCAGATGGGCGAGCACGACACAGCCCTGCAGTACCACCAGCTCGACCTGCAGATTGCTGAGGAGACCAACAACCCCACGGGCCAGGGCCGCGCCTACGGGAACCTGGGCCTCACCTACGAGTCACTGGGCACCTTTGAGCGGGCTGTCGTCTACCAGGAGCAGCACCTGAGCATCGCTGCCCAGATGAATGACCTGGTGGCCAAGACGGTGGCCTACAGCAGCCTCGGGAGAACCCACCACGCCTTGCAGAACTACTCGCAGGCAGTCATGTACTTACAGGAAGGTAGGTGGGGCTGCCTGCCGCAGGCACTCGGTCTTGCTCAGGGTCACCTCGGGGCTGCTCAGAAGGCACTTGGGGTACAGGTGTGAGTTGGACAGAGGAGGCCCTCTGAGGCCACATCAGCAGATCAGCTCTAAAGCTAGGCGCCCCCACAGGGTGTCCCTGGCCCCAGCTATCCCTGGGACCCAGGCTGGCATCCCCCCCTGTGGGACCAGCTGTGCCAACACCTGTCCTTGCCTTGCTGGCTGAGTAGGATCTTCACAGTCAGGGAAGAGTTCAGCATCCAAATGAGACGGCAGGGATAACACCCCACCCCCACCCCCCCACCCCGCCTTACTGCCACCAACCACCCCTGCTATTCCAAGCCCAGTGATCCCTGGGGACGCCGTCTAGTTAGGGGGGAAATGGAGTGAGAAGATCACGGAAAATCTCCACCCACTTTTCCAAGGCCCTCATACCTGCATCACCCATTTCCGACTCCTCTCTGAGAGCCTGTCCACTAGGGAAGAAGAAACTTCCTTGACTTTGCTTTTCCCAGGATCTCAAGGGACTAGGAATGCTTGGGGGATATTCGAGGGCTTCAAAAAGTAGGTGGGAAAAGTTGGAATGAAAGGATGTTGGAATTTTCCCCTGAACTGGCTGGAGGCCTGTCTGAGGCTGAGTTTTCCAGAGAGGAAAGCACTCCTGTACATACAACGAAGAATTTATGTCAAGGAAGCAGCCCGTCCAGTAAGACTCAAGTTCACGGGTCAGATGCTAGCAGGAGCCTCCTCCGCACTCACGCACCTGCCAGCTGGTGAAGCCAGGAGGCAAAGTGGGAAGCTGGCAGGTCATAGGCCAGTGTGGTTCCATGGTCCACAGGGACATGGAGGGTGCCACATGAGCCGCCAGCCCCAGAGTGAGACACAGGACCCGGTGTCTGAAGGAAGGAGAAGGTGCAAGAAAAAGAGAGGTTCTCCACAGTGTCTCTCATAAGTAGACCACATCCCAAAGGAGCTGTCAGTAAGACATGATCTGATTGACAGGTTGGACTGTACCCCGACCTTCCCAGATGTAACAAGTTAGCACAAACTTAACCACCGTAAGGCCCCTCATAGATACCACTTCTGGTGAGGCAAAAGCGGTCTCTCAGCACCCTCTGCCCAGGGCTCTCTTGGGCCCCACAGCAGCTCCTCCTAGGGCTGACTGCCCACAGTGCTCTGGTTGGGCTCATAATGAAGTCTAGTTCCCAGCTGGGCCAGGAGCTGGCGGCCATCTGCTGATGCACACAGAAGTCCCTGCAGAGGGACACTCGGCCTCTGGCTCTCTCCACTCTGTGGGGGCTTCTGCCCCTCCATGCGCCTGCAGAGAGGCCTAGAAAGGCCACCTCCCCCACTCTGTTATGAGAGGAAACAGGCTGCTTTCAGGCCAGAGCTCTCACGGAAACTTCCCCCCATGCCAGTTCTCACTGTCCCCCAAAGAGGGTTATCTTTCTGTCCCCATTTCGCAGCTCAGCCAGTCAAGGCTCCAAGAAACACAGCAACCTGGTGGTGGCCAGGCAGTTGGCCAGTTGGTCAGCAGTAGAGTGGGGCTCAGCCCAGGCTCTCTGCCTGGGTGCCATGCAGGCCAGGTGGAGGCAGCTGGCCCCTCCTCCTGAGCCCTGAGCAGGGCTGGGGAGCAGGGGACAAGGTGGAGAGTGGGTGAGGAACTGGTGTTCTGCACAGACCAAGGCCAGGCCACAAGATACGCCCAGACCTCATCCGGCTCCCTTGCTGTTAGGACTGGGCTCTGTCTCCCTCAGCGCAGTGATTCTGGGTGCTCACCTTCCATTTCCGGAAACCTGACTGTGGGGAAATGCCAGCAGGCCGAATCCTCGGCTGATGCAGGGCTGCTGCCCGGCCAGGATCTTCTGTAGGTCCTGCAGGACTGGCTCTCAGAAGCGGCTGCAGAATCAGTAGAAACCCAGAAGTGCACACTTACTGTTCTTGTTCTTTGAAGTCTGGCAGCGTCTAGAGTCCACCAAGGTGTGTGGCAGGCACCTCTCAGGAGCCGAGAGCTAGGCAGCCTCCAGCAGGCCCCTACCCAAGTGCTGACTTAACGATGAGGGGTCTGTTCAGTGGGCAGCCAGGCTCCCGGGGCTGTGTCTCCCCGGCTTTGGGAGGGGACTGGGAATGGGCACCCCATCCCTGGACCATAGAGTCCCAGGGTCACAGGGGTGGGACCTGGCTGCTTTTTGCGGTCAGGGGATCTCAGTGGACATGCCTGGTTAGAACGACCGATCTTCGCCAGCTTCCTCTCTCTCCTAATGAAGTGAGGAGCCCTTGGGTTCCTGATTCAAGCCCACCCACAGGTAACTGAGGCAAAGGCCCGACAGTCTGCACGCTTGGGGTTGTCACGAGTTGCAGGTGACTGTGCTGCAGCAGCTGACCGTGAGCACAGTGGCACGTGGCCAGCCTGCTCCTGGCCGTCCAGTGGGCTTTTAGCCATTCACTGCTGAGCATCATGGCCCAGGTTGTGACTGGGTGCAGAGTGCCCCTCACACAGGGCTCCTGGGGCCACGCAGCCCGTCTCCTGACTCATATTCCCACCGGGGGCAGGGCCGCCTGTCTTGGAGGAGTCCTGCGGTTAGCGAGTTGAAGGTTGAATGACCAGCTATGCTGGGCTGTGTTCCTGGTCTGCGAGGGAATTGCAAACCGTGACTAATCTGCAAGGATTATGACCTAATGACACCTAATGACGAAAAGAGCCTTGGTGGCATGTGGCGGTTACACACTGGGCTGCAACCTGAAAGATCGCAGTTCAAAACTGCCAGCTGCTTCTCGGGAGAAACACGGAGTTTTCTATTCCTCGAAAGAGTTTCTGGATTGGAAACCTACAGGGACAGCTCTACTCGGTCCCATGCCACCATACGACCATGAGTTGGCATTGACTGGATGGCGATGGATGTTGAGTGACAAAACATTTTTCTTTAAATTTTAAAATTAAAAGGTCGTGTCTAACTTTCCAAGGTTAGCTAGCATAATAGTTGATGCTTAAAGCTGAACATTCCTTTCAAATAGCATAATAGTTGATGAGCTTCAGGCTGAACATTGCTTTCTCTGGCAGAATATTCCATTGGTGGAACATCCACCAATGCAGGCGGACCCTGTACCCTGCAGGCCACCTGTTTGTTTTAAAAAAAAAAAATTAAATTGTGAGTTAGTTGGGGGTTTACACTTCAGATCATGAACTTTGTATGCGACTTTTTAAACTACTCATCAACAACCCCCCCATCCGCTTACCCCTCTGCCACTCCTTGATAGCTGTTCTCTCTCCTGTAAACTACCATCTTTCACCCCACCCAAGTCAACACCCAGCGACCGACCGTCTCGCCCATTGCTGTATCCTCCCTCGCTGCCCTCCCCACTTTGGCAAACTCCAGAGTGTGTTCCACTTGTCTAAATCTCAGTGTCCTTCCCCCCTTGTCACAGCGGTCTCGTGTAACAGCGGACCCTTTGTGACGGGCTGCTTCACTCGGCATGTTCGCCAGGTCCAGCCACGCCAAGAGAGGCTTTGTGGTTTCCTCATTGTGTGTGAGACCGTGTGTCTGTGTCTGTTCTCCCACTGGCGGGCATGTGGCCTGTGTCCATCTTCTTGCCGTTGTGACCTGTGCTGGGATGCACACGGAGGACGAGCACTGGTCTCTTGGTGTTACGGCTCTGATAGCGTCCGGGTATATCCAGCAGAGGCATTGCTGGGTGGTCTGGGACTCCATACCCAGTGGAGCCTTAGTGCTTTCCACAGCAGCTGTACAGATTTACAACCCGACCCACAGCAGTGTGTGAGAACTTCAATCTCCGGCATTTGTTATTTTCTGGGGGTTATAAAGGTTTTCTTGACTTCTGCACTTGATTGTGGACTAGTCTGGAAAGAGCTTTGCCAGCCAGAGTGGTGGATTTGAGGTATTCACAAATTCAGGCAGGAGTTTTATTTGCAGTGCTCTGGTTTCCATCTGACTGCCCTGAGAACCTGACGTCCACCAATCCAGGTGGACCCTGGACCCTGCAGGCCACCTTTTTAAAAAACAAAAAAAAATTAAATTGTGAGTTAGTTGGGGCATGACTGAGCATCCCCGAGAAGTCGCTAGCAGCACAGGAAGGGAAGAAGCCACCTATGCCCGGGCCAACTTTGCTCCCATCCTGCATTGCTCCCAGCCTTGTTGGGAACTCCTTTACGTCCAGCCAATGCAGGCGGACCCTGCAGGCCACCTTGGCCCAGTGGAACTGCCCGCCTCACATGTCGACTTAAAATTCTCCCGTCTGCTTTCAGGTTTAAGACTCGCCGAGCAACTGGGCCGCAGAGAAGATGAAGCCAAAATCCGCCATGGCCTTGGCCTCTCTCTGTGGGCCAGTGGAAACTTGGAGGAGGCCCAGCACCAGGTGAGGAGGGGAATCCCTGTGCCACGTGGATATTTCGAGAAGCCAGGGGGGAACTGGGGTTACCATCCTAGCATTTGCCAGTGACCAATGTACAGGATTCCCAGGTGCCTGCCCAGAAACGTTGACCCATTAAGTAAAGACTCTTGCTCACGCGTCTGCCTGAGTTCTCAGTAATTTCTCTGAAAGTCTCGTGTTAAGTGCTGCCATCACTCATTAAACCTTCATGTGAAAATAGCACGCACTCCGTGATGGCACCAAGCCACCCACGGCTCCATTGCTATGGTAGTTAATGTGCTGGTGGATTTCTAGCTCTATCAGGAGACACACCTCCCACTCCGTTCTCGGCTCCTCCCTCTTCTCATTTTCTCCCATGACAAGTTCATCTTCCCGTGCGGGTCCAAATAGCGGAAGTCTGTTAGCAGGCTGGCGCGGGAGGTTAGAACGGTACCAAGTTCTGAGTTGGCACCATCTAAAAGGACTTACTTATTCGGTGAGTCCAAGTGCAAGCCCTGACTGCAGAGCAAGGCAAGCAGGGACGGGAGAAGTCAATCGAGGTGTCTCTCTTGTTCCATGGGGAACAGTGAGAGCATCCTCCTGCACATTTTAAGCCATTGAAGGCAAACAGAAAAATTAATCCTCTAATTCCAGGGCTGTAGTCACATGGCTAACAACCGAAAGGTCACTGTTTCAGCCCAGCAGCCCTCTCCACAGGAGAAAGAAGAGGCTCTCTGCTCCTGCAAAGGTTGGCCATCATAGAAACCCTATGGAGCAGTTCTACTCCATCCTGTAGAGTAGCTCAATTAAAAACAAACAAAAATACCCTGTCAGCAAGTTGATACTGACTCATCGTCAGAATCCTAGCAATTCACAGCGACCCTCTAGGACAGGGTAGACCCTCCCTTGTGTGTTTCTGAGACACTGACTCTTCACGGGAGTGGAGAGTCTCAGCTTGCTTCCTAGGAGCAGCTAGTGGTTTCAAACTTGCTGACCTTGCGGTTAGCAGTCCAGGGCATAGCCAGCAGCCACCAGGGTTCCTCGTAGGATGGATAGGCGGCGGAATTGACTGGAGAACAGTCAGTTTGATGCGGGTTCTGGTGCACACAGCATGTGAGTAGAAGTCGGCTCTGGCCTGTGTGCCGTGGGCCCGGGGCAACAGTCGTTCTTTCGTCCCCTGCTCGCAGCTCTACCGGGCATCGGCCTTGTTTGAAACGATCCGGCACGAGGCCCAGCTGAGCACGGACTACAAGCTCTCCCTCTTCGACCTGCAGACGTCCTCCTACCAGGCCCTGCAGCGCGTGCTAGTCAGCCTCGGTGAGAGCAGCGGGCGCTCCGGCTGGGGTGGGGGCGTTGGGGGGTGTTTGTGCATGCACCCCAGGCTCTGTGATGAGAGAGCGCATCTTCTGGGACAACCCTCCCAAACCTGTGTCCGTCCCTCCTGCTGTGCCCACCCCCACCCCTCCAGGCCCTGCTCCTTGACCCAGAGCCCAGCAGGAAGAGGTGGTCTCTGAGGCTGGTGGTGGTGTTGCAGGCGGATGCTGGGGGCTGTCCGCTGCCTATACACCCTAGCTTCCACTGAAAGATGCATGTTGTCGTTGTGTTTATTGTCTGTGATGACAACTTACTATCTATTATCATCACAGTGTCTAGCATTTGGGGGCCAATTTTCCAATGTGCATAGAAATAGTACCTGCTATTTCCATTAGTAACATATTAAAGTGAAAGTAAATATTTACACACGCACACCCCTCCTGCTCGCTCCTGACGTCCTTGACAGAGCAGAGGGGAAGCCAGGTACCCTAGAGGTGCTGGTACAGCTGTGGCATCCAGTCCACCCCGCTGGACACCCATTTCCACCCCACCACACCTGCGTCTCTTTGGCCTGAATTCTGTCACCGGTTCATGTGTACAAGGGGCTCCAACAGCTCGGGGGGAAATTCCATTCTCTCTTCATTCTACATTCCACAAACTCGCTGAAGCCCCTGTGTGTCCATTTATGATCTGCCCTTTGTGGACACACACAGGCCACCCTCATGGTAAACCCTGCCCGTGGTTTTGCCCTTGTCCTGCGTCCGTAGTCGCACATCAGCTTTTTGACATGACTCCCTT